GCTTGGCAGGGAGTCTGCTTCTCCCTCTGACCCTCCTCCCTCTCATGCTCTCTGTCTCTCATTCTCTCTGTCTCAAATAAATAAATAAAATCTAAAAAAAAAAAAAAAAGGATATGGTAAAGGAAAGCTTCAAGTAAGGTATAGTGATAAATGAAAAAATTATTCAGGTAGCTTTGACTAGGTTATTTGTGCCTTCAAAAGTCCTAGATTCTGTCTTTTCAGTTTAGTAAGTTCTCCATACTTTGTTAGATAACTGGCCTATCATGCCCGTACATATATGTTTTTTCTTTTTTTGTTGTTTTTATTATGCCTTTGATTGCCTTGTAACTTCACAGTTATTTCCTTTAAACCATTTACCTACCTACCTACAGTTTAGATCAGACTTGATATAGTGGGAGAGAAACACTAAAATATTTTTCTCTGCTATGTAGTAGATTTTTATTAAATTATGAAAAATAATTAAAAGCTAAATTGGCTTTCTTGTTTGAAGTAGCATCATGTTGTATATCTTCAGCACTCATTTTATACTCCAAACTTTTGGGAATTACTCCTGCAGCACCATTTATTTTGGAAATTTGAACATTAGGAAAACTTCAAGATGGTGCCACTAGGTATAGAAAATGGAAAATTCTTTGCAAAACATTGAGTTTTGTTTTTATGAAAAAAATACAATTTAATCTTTAGATTATATAAGGTATGGCCTGCTTGGATAATTGAAACCAGACTTCAGTGGTTATGGCAGTGAGGTGATACAAAAAGTGGCCAGATAAAATTAACAGGCTTAGTATCAAGTAGAGGCTTACTGGCAATATAAAGTTTGAATTTCTATAGTTTAGATTTATAGAAAAAAATTAAAATTACTTGTACATTTTCAGTGACAGATGAAAATGGATGTAATTTTCAAGAAAAATAATTATCTAAATCTCTAGAAATAGTCTGAACATTAATATTACAAATAAATAAGCTTCTGTCTATTAGAGAAGTGCATTTAAATATGGTATTTTAAATTCTAGGGTATAAAAGATGGCAAGTCCAGATAGAAGTAAGCGGAAGATACTAAAAGCCAAAAAAACAATGCCTGCAAGTTGCCGGAAGCAAGTAGAGATCCTGAATAAGTCAAAGAATGCTGAAGCACTGAAAACAGCAACTGGGAATAATGTGTCAAGTGGTAATCAGAATTCAAGTACTGGTGTCATAAATAGCAAATATGGACATTCTGAAAATGATGCTTCCTTATTGGACTCTAAGAAAAATTCAGTATGCTCAGAGAAAAGTAAAGCATTTTCTCAGAATGTAATGAAACCACTAGAAATTGTTGATTCAGAAACAAGATTGGAATACATTGAAGAACAAGTTGTGTGCCCTTACCAAAAGCCAAGCAAAACAATAGAATCTTCCAGGAAACTCTTTACACAAGAGGCGAAAGATTCACAGAACACTTCTGAAAACCATATTGAATGTCAGACAGATATAACAAGATCCTATTTTGAACGACATGAAGAAGATTGTAATCTGAAATCCATTTGTTGTCCATCTAGTGTATTGAGTGGTATGGTTCAAATGCCAAAAACTACAGTAAACAATACCTTGGATGATAAGAGAATCGACAAGACAGTTTCTTATTTAGAAACAAACTTCAATTCTGAGTCATGTGATAAAAGACAAAGTGACATTTTAAGTTCAGATACCTGTTTTCTGCCTGTTGATAAAATACTTAAGTTGGTGAATTCAGTCATTTCCAGTAACTGTGCTACTGACATTTTGAAAAGTGAAGAATCCTGTAGAACCTGTCATTCCAGCATTTCAAATTTTGAAAGTATAGACTCAACACGGCTGTCAGCACTTGACACTGATAGTAATAACAGTAAGTGTATACTTATGCATCTTTTGGAGAAATTAAAATAGTCATAGTCACTTTCCTTTTGGGGGATGTTTTTTAGCCTCAGATACAGAAACCATAGAGTGTCTATAGCTGGGAAAAAAGTAAATGATGACATTAATCGTTTCAGAGTATCTTGTTTCTCAACCATTTAGGGTGAGGAGGGGGAAATGGTATCCTCCATATCTGAAGGGAAGTAAATTCTGGCAAAGAAGGAATCAGTCGCTTTCCCTTGAGAGTACAAAAAATCAAAAGGTGACTTATGGCAATTGTTTGGTTTATTTCATCTACATCTCTTCTTATTTTGAAGTTTTATTTATTAGATTAATAAGAAGGCTAGTTGAAAGAGTTTTTTTAATCATTAGTGAACTCATTTCTTTCCATAGACTTGACCTGGCTGATAGATAATAGGTATATATACACATAAACATACGTATGTGTATGCGTGGAGTGACAGAGAAACATCAAATAGTTAACCAATGAAATTCTAGAGTTATAAAATTATTAAAATAGCAAAAATAAATTTCATTTGAAGTAGGATTTTTTGTAAGTTAATGAAATATAAGAAAAACATTTTGTAGGATAAATTTTATTTGTGTTCTTGTCTAAGCTACATAGTGATCATTTAATAAGATGGATTTAAAATTATTTAAAAATAACAGGATCACCTATTAAAAATATGTAGGACTGCCTAAGTAACTGTATAAAAATAATGTAAGACCACTTAAGTAACTAGAGCATTGAAGTGCTATAATTTATTCAGTTCTTGTTGGTATTAAATAGGTATTAAGTGAAGTTGAAAGGAAAGTGTATCTGAGACCAGAATCCTACCTAAGAACCTAAGATAATCATTTTTTTAAGGTTAGTTTATCACAATTTTTTAGACAATTACATTTTCTTAAAAAATGCTGCCTTGGTCACATTTTAGTTTTTCTATTTCCTTAGTCCCTGGATTAGAGAATTCCCTTGTTTCCTTCCTTAGAAGGAATATTTTTACTTCCTGATCTTTCCATTTCCCCAAGGCCAAAATCAAAAGAAGAGGATGTTTTCAGAAAACAAAGAAAATGTTAAGCGCATGAAAACTTCAGAGCAAATTAATGAAAATATTTGTGTAGCTCTGGAAAAGCAAACAGCATTGCTGGAACAGGTAAAATATTGGGGCTTATATATTTGCTTCAGAAACTTCTGATTAGTAAAAAAATGGTAAAAGTTAATTGATCTCCACGATGATTTAGTACAGAAGACTTTCACTTGGTGCAAAAGTTGTATATGAAAATGGAATCAACTGATGGAGATATTAGGGAAAGATAATTGTTTACATTACCAAAACATGTAGAGTAACCTAGAGAATCATGTGTAGGTAGAGTGCTGTAGTAGAAAGAGAATGGACTTTTTAGTCAATATTACATTTAAATCTCTTAGAAAGTCAGACACTGCCTGACCTTAAGCTTTGCTGAATAATTCAATGCCTTTTGTTCTGGTCTTTGGGTTCTCTGATCTGCAGCTACAGCCATTTGTATACCTTATCACAATTGACCCCTACTTCATAGACTCAGACAACCCAGAAGTCCATCATAAAGTTCTGCTGCATTCGGGTTTACTTGCCCTAATTTCCAGGTTTACACAGATATGTTGGATTTTCTGATACTTTGTTTTATAGCATCATCAAATGCACATTTTGCTTTCATTTTGCCCCATTTTATTTCATTGTACTACAGTTTCCCATGTTTGATCAACTCTTGAGTTTAAGTGTAATGAACTTCAATTTTAATAGGTCCTGTAATGAGGACCTGTTTTAACCATCATGTTTTGCTATTTTACTACCACTAGAATTATTCAACTGAAAGTCATTATGTAGTAGATTAATGTCTGTCAACTATAATGGACCAAAATGTTTTAAGCCAAACTATCCTGCTGTTTCAGAAACAAAAACACTACTGTTTTCTAAAACAGACCATTATAATTATATAGTTACATATTATATGAATATGTATTCACATAATAAATAAATGGAAACCTTTTTGAAAGATTCATGCAGAACCAGCATGAAAGGTGAGTAGCAGTTTTTCCCTTTCTACTTTGTCTTTTCTTCCAGGAAGACCAAAGGAAACACTAATGAAAAAATATGTAAATATTCTCTTATTTGCAGGAAAGAGGTGGCAGAATTATGGTGAGCATAGATCTAGCTTAAGAAAAAAGTTTGGGATTCCAGTCTTATTCCCATTGATTAGTAGCTGAATTTAGAAATAAGTTCTGATAGGAACATACGAAGAAAAAATTTAATCTTTGAATATTTTGGTGTCACTGGCATGGAAAAATCAGTTTTCATTCATTACTGTTATGTGTCTCACAAAATACTTGGTCTGAGTTGACACAGAAAATGGTCCTTCCCAACGAGGTTTGAGAAATGCAGTTTATTTTGTTTTCTCAACCACCACCACCCCCCTCCCTGAAGTTTCTTGCACATTCTTCGGAGACATCTTGGGTTTTAGCTAATTACTATCTTTTTACCTATCTCCAAATAGCTAGCTTTCCATCATTTGATATTTTAATTCCTGTGCAAACAGTTAACTCTCTAAACCACATCTATTTGGGGTTTTTTTTTAGTTTGAATCCCAGTGGAATAGGGCTAGCATTCTGACATTATTCTTCCCTGAGAGAGTCCCAGAGCTGTTGACTCTTCTTTTTTGAGGTTTTTATAAGGATCTTGGCCTTGTTGATTCCAATTAAATTACTGAAGTGGAGGAGTTTTTCTTCTAAAGTCCAAGTTATTCACTCTACCCACCATCTTAGAAAGTTGAGGCAGATTGAAAATATATAATTGCTAGTCTTTCTCCAATCTTTAGGCTACTTTTGCTGCCATCTGCAAATTGTACCTAGGATTTCCATCAGATAACATAATTTGGGACACATTACCATCAGCAGAAGACATTTATGAGGTATTTGGTGGAGGTTATTGTGTCTTCCTTTTTTATGAGTAACATCGCCACTAAATGAGAAATGTCCAGTCTAACCAAGAGTAACAATCTGTGGATGGGCATTTAGTCCTTTTAAATAATCCAGTTTTAAGAGTCTGCCTCCATCTGAATCACCAAGAGTACTTACTTGTTTAAATTGTGGTTTATTGAGCTCCCTCATAGCTGAAGACTGTTGTTTTAGGCTACTCTTTTCTCAAACTTACCTAATAAGAATTACTGGAGGTGCCTGTTAATTAGACAGCTTTCCAGGCCTTTTTCCAGGAAATTCTCTTTGGTGAATCCAGGCTAGGGCCTAGGAATCTGTGATTTTAACAAATATCCCGTGTGTTACCAGGGAAGTTTCACAAACACTGTGTGATCTCCAGTTGTTAGCAAAACAGTATTTCCACATTCAGAACATTTAGAAAGTTTCTCCAAGATTCATCTGAGTTTGAGCTTTACATATTGACCCAGCCACTGAACTGGCAAGGCTGTAGTAATCCATAAAAACCACATATGGGTGGTTTTCACCTGTCAGTAAAAATAGTATGTTATTTTGAGCACTTACTAGTTGAATCAAATACTTAAAAAAGTTTGACAGTAAAAATGATAATCATGTCTAATGTTGAGAAATCACTGAAGAAATGTTAAGCATTACAGAAAAAAAATCAAGTAGATGATGTTGAAGAGCAAGAACAATTGGAAATGAGAAGGAAAAACCTTGGGAATAATCAAAATTGTTGAATAACCCTAATCATCCCAGTGATATCAGTATAAAAGAGTTTAACATAGAAGCTTTATGTTCCAATTTCAAACACCAAGAAGCAAGAATTTAGGGGAAAGATACAAATATTACTAATAAATACCTTGAGCGTATCATGACAGGTTTTGTTATTAAGAAACACTACCTACTCTGTTATGAAAGCAGCTTACAGGAGGATACAAATTCAGCAGAAAATTACAGTGGATATTTCTGAATATATGGCTGAGCAGAGCTATTCATATCAGTGGGCATTGAGATTAATTATGCTCCCTGAGAATAGGCCCGTTTGTTTTCTAAAAAACAGCCAGATAATGAAATGCATTAATGTTTCATCTGATAGCTACTGTTAGAATAGCGTGCATTATGCCAAATAGCATTAGCCACTACCTAATTAGTCCTGACTTCTCTCCATTTTAACAATAGAAAGTCACCCCCTAAAAAACCTATGCAAGTAAAGTCGATTATCTTGCATATTTATTTCCTTTATATCAATTCACTGTTTTCTATTTTATGGAGCTCTTTCATATATTTACCTTTTATACCCTTATAAAAATCCGATTAGCATCACATGTTCAACATTGTATTACCTACCCATATGTGGGCAAGGAAGATGAAGCTGAGAGGTGTTGTGACTTCCCAAAGGTCCTATAGCTTTGTTAATGGCTGGGTCAAGGCTTGGACTTTCATAATTTGCTTCATATCCACTATAGACCAACCAACCATTTTCATTGGGCTCTGGCTTTCAGATAAGTGGAGTTCCTTTTTATGGAATACTTGGTTTCAGTTATGCTCATTAAAAAATATAAATGCAATATAGGCTTTTACCTTTCCTTTAATATGTATTATGGAATTCAGCTGAAACTGTAGGAAACAAAAATTAGCACTGGGAGAATAAATTTATGTTCTAACATACCCATATATTTAGATACTGGGTGTGTTTTGCTAAATTTGATATTCAAACTTCTGGTAATATTAGATACTGGGTGTGTTTCGCTAAATTTGATATTCAAACTTCTGGTAATATAAACATAAAAATGTGTATTTTATCAGTTACAATAAATCCAGAAAAGAACAAAGCTATTTTTAAGGAGTAGAAAATAAAATTGCTTTTAAATTTGAAACATGGGGTGTTCTCGTTTTTATTTTAAAATTCTAGGTCAAACATTTGATTCGACAGGAGATCTATAGTATAAATTACAAACTATTTGATAATAAGCTGAAAGAATTGACCGAACGCATTGGGAAGACACAGTGCAGGAATAAACATGAAGCAATAGCTGATGAACTCTTCGTAAGTTTCTGATTTCATTTGATTTCATTTGAAGTAGAATTTGGTGATATTTTACATATTAGGAAAGGAAAACAATAAAGGAGACCCAAATCTGATCCTTGACCACAAGCCTAGTGTACTGTACCATAGGTAATAGAGTTTATTAGCAATACTGACCCTTATGAAATTGGAAATATTATTCTATGTTCTTCTGTTGTCAGTTGTTCTGTGTCAATTGACAGGCTTAATATGTAGGCAGTTTCTTTTAATTCAAAATATATCCTGTATTAGAGCTTGTACAATGTGTTTGAAACTGTTTTGGGGTTTTTTTGTTCTACTCTTCTAGGGTTACTTGCTGATAGGTGCTTCCTACCAACATTAATTTTATTATGACTCAATTAAAAGTTTGATGTTTTTATCTTCCATTCTTGTATGTCATACTGGCATCTTTGCTTATATAAAATAAAATACATTTATATGCTTATATAAAGTAAATCTTTGCTTATATAAAAATTTCTCATTTATTTGGATGGATGTCTAAGTCTTAAAAGACTCATTTGGCAGATACATAGTTTTCCCTCCATCTCTATATATTATTTAGTACTCTGGTTTTGTATTTGTTTTTCTCTCTTTCTTCTAGGCAAAAATATCAAAACTTCAAAGACGTATTAAAGCAGGATTGCACTCTCAAAAGAATTGCTTGGAACCAAATGTATTAACCAGTAATACAGCCTGTAAGGTTGGTATAAACACATATGAGTTTTGTTTTGTTTTTTTTTTAAAGATTTATTTATTTATTTGAGAGAGCGAGAATGAGAGAGAGTACATGAGAGGGGGTAGGGTTAGAGGGAGAAGCAGGCTCCTTGCTGAGCAGGGAGCCCGATGCGGGACTCGATCCAGGGACTCCAGGATCATGACCTGAGCCGAAGGCAGACACTTAACCAGCTGAGCCACCCAGGCGCCCCTAAACACATATGAGTTTTAATTGCCTCATTGACCCACCATTATAGGTAGTTGGATTTTAAGATATGAAATATATTTCCAAACTAAGAAGGCTTTAAAGAAAAATTTATATTTAGAATGTTCCTGTGATGCTATCTCTGGAGAAAATACCCTTAGGTGGCCAAACATAAATGCCACTTGTACTTCTTACATCAAGTGATTAGAGAGGTGATTTGTGATCCCCACCATTTTATCAGGATAAAAAGTTTCAAACAGATACTACAGGAAAGTTGACAAACTTTTACAGTGAACATTTGTATACACAGCACCTAAATTCTACCTTTACTATTTTAATATGTTTATTTTTGTCATATATCTGTCAATCTGTTCATCTCCTAAGCCATCTTTATATTTGGTGCATTCATAAATACTAATGTATTTTTTTGTATCAAAATATACTTTGTAGCATACACTTCCAAAATATTTCAGCAGGGGTATCATTAGAGTTTGGTATCTGTTTATATTTTTCATATAAAATTTAAATATAGTCTTCAGTATACATTCACTGAATTTTTTTCTTGTAGTATCTTTATTTGCTTTGGTATCATATTTACGCTAGCTTCAGTAAATGAATTGGGAAGCATTCCCTCCCCTGTTCTCTGAAAGTCCGTGTAAGATTTTTTTACTTCCTTAAATGTTTGATAGAATCCATCTCTGAAGACTATCTGGGCAAGGAGCTTTCTTTGTAGGAAGACTTTTTCTTGAAATTCAATTCTTTAATAGCTAAGGGGCAATTCAGATTTTTCTATTTCCTCTCATATCAGTTTTGTAAGTTACCTTCACAAGGAATGTGTCCCTTTTATCTAAGTTGTTGAATTTGTTGACATAAACTATTATTTTTGTTTACTATTCCAATCACTCTTTATTTTTTTATTTTTTTTATTTTTTAATTTTATTGTTATGTTAGTCACCATACAATACATCATTAGTTTTTGATGTGGTTATCCACAATCCATTGTTTTCATATAACACCCAGTGCTCCATGCAGTGTACGTGCCCTCCTTAATACCCATCACCAGGCTAACCAATCCCCCCTCCCCCCTCCCCTCTAAAACCCTGTTTGT